AGCGAAACCACATCACTGAAAACAGTGGTAACGGAGCAATCTCAGATAATCGAGCACCTGCAAGAAGAGCTCAATGACAGTGAACAGTACAGTCGTCTCTCAAACATCGAGATACATAGACTTCCTCAATCCCCAACTGAAAATTTAGTCTCCGTTGTCAGTGAGTTGGCGTGTAAGCTAGGCCTTGGTGACTTTCGGCCAAATGACATAGTGGCAGTGCATCGTCTGCCTTCTCGACGCGATGGCCCTCCAGTTGTCCTGGTTAGATTGGCATCCGTGTCACTAAGAGAGCAGTGGCTTGCCACACGAGGTAAGCTGCGTACCTTGGCGGCAGACAGTTCGTTGCCAAAACTCTACCTGAACGAGAATCTGACGCGAAGGAACAGGGAACTCTTTTGGATGGTGCGTGAGAGGGCAAGGGTCAAGCAATATAAGTTCACTTGGGTGAAAACTGGGAAGCTATTTGCGAAGAAGTCAGAAAGCTCGCCTGTAGTGCGCATCTATCGGATGGTCGACTTGGAAAATATTGTCTAATTTTTTTCGTTTCTTAATGGCTTGAAAATAAGGCGAGATAACTACCACTTCGAAAAATGGAAGTACAGTTTCATCGATGTTCAGATTTTTCTTCTTTTCAACGTCTCTTGAGCCCAGTCAACGATACTGCTCTTGGCTTATTACATGTAAATATTAGGAGTATTCGTAAATATTGGGACCAGTTTGTAATAACTATCAACAGTGTGATGTCAATAATTGATGTTTTTGTGCTAACAGAGATCAATGTTAAAGAATAGTTTTGTAGTGCCTTTCAGATACCGGGATATAAATCATTTTTTCTCACACGACCAATTGGTCGAGGAGGAGGAATCGCGATATTCGTTAAAGATTCATGGTGTACTGAAAACTTTGATGTAGATTTTTTTCATTGCGAGTCTTTGTCCTTAAGGTTATGGAATTGTGAGTGGTCGTTGTTGTTATTGGCACTGTACAGACCTCCGTCATCTAATGCTTTAAACTTTTTGGAAGAACTCAGAGATACACTTGGTAAATTCCAGTCCGTCGACATCTGTATGATAGGAGATTTTAATATTGACACCCTTCAACCCATTAACTTCCTTGTTTGTGACTATCTGAATTTATTAGCGGAGTTTGGTCTAGAGGAACTGATTCTAGCTCCGACTCGAGAGGAACTTCTGGGTGATCATCTCGTTCTTCATGTCTTGACCATATTAGCGTACGCGCCGCAAATGTCGTTGCGCAGTCAGCTGTAATAGAACAAAAACTAGCGGACCATTACTTTGTTGCGTGTGAACTTACATCAAAACTTAGCGCTAAAACAAAAACAGAAACAACAAAAAGAGTTGAAATAATTTATAAAGTAAGGTTTGATAAGTTAGTTAAGGCCTATAATTGGGATAGTTTGTTGTCCATTCAAGACTTCGTTGAAATTTACAGTACGTTTAGAAATCAATTCGGCTCTTTCAGGGAGCAATCCAAAAAGATTATTACTGTCAGGCGGCGTCAAAATGCACAAGTGTGGTTAACAGGGGATATCTTGTCATGCATTAAGTATAAAGATGCTTTATGGGCTAAATGCCGACGTTCTCCTAAAAATGTTCAGTTAAAAATAGAATTCCGCGCTACGCGAAATCGTGTAAATGCGCTTATCCGGTGCGCTAAGAGAAAATACTTCCGAGAGAGATTTTTGAAGGTAAGGTCAAATATTCGTGAAACTTGGTGTTTACTAAATCAGTTGCGTTGCTCTGGTGTTAGGAGATCCATTGATGATTCACTTGAGAAAGTATTTGATCTTAATGCGACAGTGGCTGAGGATTTCAACAAGTTTTTTGCTAAATTTTCTGGAGTAGAGCCTAACGATGCTACGTTCTCTACAGAATATCTAGAGTCCAATGTTTCCTCGGCTTTCCTTCCTCAAATGACCGAGCTTGATCTACGAACTTGGCTTTTCAGTTTCAAAACAAACAAGGCGCCTGGGATAGATGGCATCAGTGCAGAAGACCTGCAACGCAATTATAACTCTATAAAACACGTGCTTCTTTATATGTTAAATGGTTTTATTTTTTCCGGGATTATCCCAGATGATTTGAAAACTGCACTTGTAAAGCCTTTATTTAAAGGAGGAGAGCGCAAAAAGCTTGACAATTACCGCCCAATTTCTATTTTACTCTGTATAGTCCAGATCTTAGAAAAACGTATCCTTCAATCTATGACGGGGTTTCTTGATCGCTTTAACATTCTATCGCCAACTCAATATGGGTTTGTCAGTGGACGTGGGACCCAGCCACTTCTAGAAGATTTTGCTGATGAATTGAATTATACCTTTGAGAAGCATCAGGTTGCTTGCGCACTTTTTATTGATGTGGCAAAGGCATTCGATACCGTGAGTCATAATATTTGACTAACTAAATTGCAAAACATTGGATTCCGATGCCCATTCCTTTCACTACTTCAGAACTTTTTGTCGGGAAGGACACAACTAGTTTCCATAGCGAATATCCGAGGCTCCAAAGTTAGCTTAAAAGCTGGGGTTCCTCAGGGATCCGTTTTGTCACCTCTCCTTTTTAACATCTTTGTAAACGATATGTCCAGGGCAGTTTCCTCATGTAAATTATTTCAATACGCTGATGACACGGTATTGCTGTCGCAACACCTTGATTATGTTGCAGGAATCACTTTACTCCAAGACGACACTTGTCACCTACATGACTGGTTTAGAGCTAATTGTCTCACGATCAATATACATAAAACTAAGCTTGTTTGCTTTCATAACCCACTTAAACTTATAACTACCGATTATCCACTTTATATGCATACATCTCGGTGTACACCTTGCGACTGTCATCCTGTGTCTTATGTTGATCAAGTTAACTATCTAGGAATACAATTTGAGAGTGACTTGTCGTGGAAAGCCCATTTATCCCAACTTTGTAGAAAACTGCGAAAAGTATCCTGTTTTCTGTATAATGCCAAATCTCTAATACCCATTTCAACCAAAAAGACAATAACTCACGCTTTAGCATACAGTGTATTACGCTACGGAATAACTATTTTTGGTCACAGCCCAGGACTATGGGGCAAAAAAATTGACTCGGTTTTAAAAGGAATATTTAAAAGCATAATGTACGGTGCTACGTCACAAACTGAAGAAGAAATGCTAGCATGCTTGGGTTTGCCTTTTTTTTATCCTTTACTTGTACAAACGGTTGTTCTAAAATACTTCTGGAGCGATACTTTTAAGGTACCTCGTGTCTTATGTAGACCTCTTCGGCGTGTTGAGCGGTTTGAAGTGCCTTTCGTAGAAACAAAGTACGGAAAAAGAGTGCGAAATTTTTACGTTCCATTTATTTTCAACAATTTACCAGATGGTATCTATGCTGTGGACTCTTTAAAAAAAATTGAAAGAATCACTTCAAGTTATTAGGGAGAAGTTGTGACTGCATGTTTCTGTTTGCATATGTTGGAATGACCATCATCACCTACATTGTTCTGCATCTGTAATTGAATTTGAGCTGTGAACTTCTTGTTTGTGGGGACTCTTTCAAGCATGAGCTGTAGGGTGCTGTCCCACAAGCCGCTTCTGGCTTTGACAGGCCCGTGTATCTGCCTTGTTAAATGCGTGTTCCAATAAAAATTTATTAGTATTATTATTATTATTATTATTATTATTATTATTATTATTATTATTATTATTATTATTATTATTATTATTATTATTAATAATAATGAAGAATGAAGAAGAAGAAGTCGCCGGGTTCGGATGTTGGTTTTTACCGTGGCGTGGCATTTTCGAAATGTTTAATGATTTCGCCGATTGAACACCTTTTTCGACGTCCTTCTATCAACCCAAGACGAAGACAGCGCCATTGGAAGTCGCTCAACACCCTTCCGTTATGCGCAAGGCAGAGAAATGGTCTATGGTGATCCCTCGCTCACCTGCATGCTCGCCTTGATTATTCAACGGCTGTCTTTGTTTTTTAAGACCGCTTCCGTGTGCCCGGGCGCAACATAATCGCTCAAGACTCACCACCAAACCACATCAGACCCAGCTCTTGTCAACGAAAGCTGTAGCGCCGTGGTTGAGCCTCATCGGGACCATCTGAGTTCGACGGCTTTGACAAGAAACCCGCGGACATTCAGAACGTTTCCAGCACTGTCAGCGGAGAGTGCTCAGCTGCGACAGACGCCGGTGCCTCACGTGCAAAGCCGCCAAGGTGCATTTAATTTCGCGGGTGAGCCTGGAATTTTTTTACTACATTGGATTGTCCTTCTTAATCGTATTTGCGTTGCACCGTCTCGTGCCACTGCTTTGTCGTCGCTGTTTTGTGGTCATGGCCAATCCTGCAGTGTGTGGTGCTTGCTCCGATCCTATGACAACTGACGGCAGAAAGATGAAGTGCTGTGACTGTTCTAGCCACTATCATTTAGGTAAAAAATGTTCTGGCATTGCCGACGGCACGTTTAAAGGTATGAGCGCAGCCAAACTTGACAAGTGGCGATGCCTCGCATGCCGTGAAGGACAAGCAAAATCCAACTTAAGCATCAACTCCCCGTCCTCGCAAGTAGAGCCACCTGGATTCTTGGATCAGCTTTCGACGGTGCACCAGAAACTTGATCGCCTACTTTCTCTCAAAGACGCCGTGGATAACCTTCAAGAAATGCACCCAAAAATTGATGCCTTGTTGTCATTGAAACTAACGATCGATACTATGCGCAACACCATTAATGAGATGCAAGCATCCCTGAATTTTGTTTCTTCTCAGTATGATTCGCTGGTGAATTCGACGGAAGCCCACGAAAAAGCTGTCAAAGAGCTTCAGACAGAAACCAAGGCTTTGAGGTCATTAGTATCGGACCAGTCGCTTGAAATACAGCAACTGAGAGCGGTACAGAACGACGCCGATCAATCCAATCGTACGTCCAACCTTGAAATACATGGCATTCCCTTTCAACCAAATGAGAATCTTGGAGGCATTCTCACTAACCTTGCAGGGCAGTTGAGCATTGAAGGCTTTCAGCCAGCGCATGTCGAGAAAGCGCATCGCCTGCCTGCTAGACGTGATGCCGTGCCCCCCATACTGGTTCGTTTTTCATCGTCTCCACTAAAAGAACGCTGGATGATGAGTCGTGGCCGCTTGAGTTCTATTCCTTCCGGAGACTCGCAGCCTCGAATCTATTTCAATGACAATCTTACCGACTACAACAAAAAACTCTTCTGGATGGCGAGAACCAGAGGAAAGGAAAAGGGCTATAAGTTTGTGTGGGTTCGACATGGACACATTTTTGCCAAAAAATGCGAAGGATCAACTTTGCTTCGCATTATGAATGTTTTTGATTTGGAGCAAATAGTGTAGACCCTAATGGCGCATTTTTTTCAGTTTAAGTGTAGTGTAGACCTTAATTGCTCAATTTTCTCAGTTTAAGGACCTCAAGTCTTGCACTGAACACTTTAATGTGAACACAGGGACATCTTTTACGTTATTCCATGTCAACATAAGGAGCTTGCGCAAGCACTGGGATGAGTTTAGATTAACCGTAGATAGCGTGCTTCCGATAGCTGATGTGCTCATTCTCACAGAGATTAATATCCATAGTGACGACATTGGACAGTTTTTGTTACCCGGATTCAACAATTTCTTTTATACTCGCGACAAAAAGCGCGGTGGTGGTATTGCTGTTTTTCTCAAATCCACATTGTTATATTCGGAAATTTCTGTATCATTCCTATCATGTGAGTCACTGGCGTTACGTGTCTTTACTTCTACATATGAACTCTACCTACTGGCAATTTATAGACCCCCTTCGGATAGCATTCCTGACTTTCTCTCCGAACTTCGCTGCTGTATACAGTCGTTGCCACTCACTGCAACTCTTTGTCTTACAGGAGACATTAACATTGACCTCTTAAAGCCTTCCAAAGCTATAGTTTGTGAATACCTCACTCTATTGGCCGACTGCGGAATAGAACCATCTATTCAAGCCCCGACAAGAGAAGAATATCTAAATACAAGACTTGTCAGCACATCCATTGATCACATTAACCTAAGGGCACCTTTCTCAACAATCAAATCAGCCGTTATAACCCAGAAACTATCAGACCACTACTTTATAGCATGTCAGTTGGAATTTCCTGGTGTAGTGGGTGCTGTGCCCAATACTCAAATCCGCCAGATTGAAATAGTTGACCGTCAGAGATTTGACAAGCATGTTTCCGACTATGACTGGGTAACATTCCAACGGTCTGTATATCCTTCAGAAGTATATTCTTCCTTTGTTGAACTCTTCCAGAAGTTTGCTAACGCATCAAAAAAAGTATTTTTTTTAAAGCAGAGGAACTCCAATTTACGCTGGCTTAACAATGACATATTAGCTGCAATTAAACTTAAACAAGTTGCTTGGAAACGCTGCCGGCGCTCACCACACAACCAAAGCCTGCTTGCAGAATTCAGATCTATCCGCAACAGAGTTAGCGCACTCATTCGCTCTGGTAAACGGGCTTATTTTCAAAAGCAGTTTTCTGAATCTCGGAGCAACGCTGTTAAAACCTGGTCATTGATCAACGAATTGCGCGGTGTCTCCCCGCGCGTGCAAGGAAGCATTTTAAAAGACACCTTTGGTATTAACTCACTCGCTGCTGCAAACCGCTTTAACGATTTCTTTGCTTCTTTTTCCGGAACAGCCAAAAAAAGCTCAATCTGTTCATCTATTCCTAACTTGAACCCTGCTTCCGCTTTTCTCCCTTACATGACAGCAAACGACTTAGAATCTATAATACTGAGCCTCAAATTGAACAAATCCCCTGGAATAGATAAAATACGTATTAGTGATCTTCGAAGAAATTTCACTTACATTAAGGATACACTCCTTTTACTTTTCAGCAATATGATCGAGACTGGTATCATACCCCGTGAATTAAAAACTGCTGTTGTCAAACCCCTATTTAAGGGAGGTCAGAGAAGTAAGGTAGAAAACTATCGCCCAATATCTATTTTGCCATGTCTGGCACAAATATTAGAAAAATATATTTATATGACGATGGCATCCTTTATTGATAAATATAAGATTATGTCTCCGAGTCAGTATGGCTTTATAGCTGGCCGAGGAACACGTACCTCTCTTGGACACGTTTTCTGATGACTTAAATTATGGCTTTGAGAATAACTTGTTCACTTGCGCATGCTTCCTTGACGTGTCAAAAGCGTTTGATACTGTTAATCACTCTATACTACTTAGCAAAATTTCAGCCATAGGATTTCGTGGACCTTTCTTGTCACTTTTAGAAAATTTTCTGCTTGGGCGCACACAGTTGGTTTCGGTGAACAATGTGCAAAGTTCCACAGTTAGTTTAAAATCTGGCGTTCCGCAAGGGTCCGTTCTTTCTCCACTATTGTTTAACATCTATGTCAATGACTTATATAGCGTGGTTTCAAACTGCATTATTTACCAATATGCAGACGACACCCTTTTATTAACACGTCATACTTCCTACCCATAAGCGCTTCAGATGCTCCAGCAATCCTCCAACAAAGTCATGGACTGGTTTTCTCGGAGCTTGATTTCTATAAATGTGTCGAAAACAAAACTCGTCTGCTTTCGCAATCCCTTGAAAGTAGTGTCCTTAAATATTCCTTTTTTGCTACACACATCAAACTGTAGCTCGTGCCACTGTGCTGAAGTGCCGTATTCCGACTCTGTAAAATACCTTGGTATACACTTCGACTCCGACCTTTCGTGGAATTCTCATCTAACGAAAATATGTTCGAAGTTGAGAAGCGTTTCTTGTCTGCTTTATAACATCAAAACTTTCATGCCCCTCGGCTTACGCAAACGCGTTGCCTATTCGTTAGCCTATAGTCACCTGCGCTATGGAATAACTCTTTTCGGTTCATGCTCTAATTTATGGCAAACGAAAATAGACAATATCTTTAAGGGGATTTTGAAAAACGTGTGCTATAACCTCAATGATTCTCATTTAGACCATTTTGAGACATTGTCAATGCCGAACTTTAGATCTCTTTTTTTAGAAACAGTTCTGATCAATCACTACTGGTCTGACGACTTTAAAGCTCCTCGTCTCGTCTCACGGCAGCTACGGAACGTTTCCAAATATCTCGTCCCGAAATGCTACACACGGTATGGCAAAACTATGCGTTCATTCTACGTTCCAGACATTTTTAATCAATTACCATCAGATCTCTGGAACATTACGTCAAAGAAAAAACTAAAAAAGCGCCTCCGTCATATGGATATACTAAAAGAAAAAGGATAACTGTCTTTTTTTTTCACATTTCTGTGGAGTATGTTTTTGTGACTAGGAGAGACTCATCGCGTGGTATTTCTGTCCCTCATATTTTGTGTCGTTCTTTGAATGTGCTGTGAACAGACGTGCCGTGTGAGTGCGCCCTTTTTTGTTCATTCTGCTAGACTCCTCATCCCGAAGATCTGTGCCTCAAAGTTTTGCGTCGGCTTTTTTTTAATGTCCTGTGACCAGACGGACAAACCAATTTTAACTCTTTTTTTCTCCTGTTTTCTTCAAATAATTTATATTGATTAGTACCGCTGAAGTGGACATTTACTGTGGACTTCTAGTGTCTTAACGTTTTTGTTTTTTTTTGACCGATTATGTTATCAATTCTACCCAAAAGGGTTCAGTCACACAAGCCCATGTCGGCTTTGACGAACCTGACAGCTTCATGAGTATAGTCCTCGAAAATAAATGTATTATTATTATTATTATTATTATTATTAGTAGTATTATTATTATTATTATTATTATTATTACTTTGTTGGATGTCGTTTAGACGCTCAGTTACCCGAAGAGCAAGGAACCAGGCGCGATTGTTCGTGGATTTCAATAACGGATACGGTACAATTCGATGCTTTGGTCGCTGCCTTTGACTGGAACGAACTCCTGGTGTCCATAGAACCTTCCAATGTTTATAAAGCTTTCGTCGAGGTATTTCAATCCTTTTATTGTGCCGCCAAGAAAAAGGTTAATTTCAAACGACGGTCTTATAAGCCATGGTTTAATTCTGATATTATGACTGCAATCAAAGAAAAAGATACGTTGTGGTCACGTTCCCGTCGTTCACCAAACAATTTGCAGCTAAAAGCAGAGTATCGAAGCGCTCGGAACAAAGCTAATGCAATTATACGGTCTGCCAAACGATGCTACTTTCAGCGAAGACTCTTTGAGGCAAGATCGAATCCACGTGAAACATGGAAGTTGATTAATTCTTTTACTGGGCGGGGAGAAAAGGCTTCGCTTCTTGACTCCCTTCAAAAACACTTCGGCACAGATCTGCAATCAGTAGTAAACGACTTCAACAAACTTTTTGCATCGTCATCGGGCTTTGCGCGAGACAGCGATTTCAAACCGCTTGCCTCGAGCGCAAGTATTAGTTAATCAAACTCGGCGTTTCTTCCTCTTCTCACAATAGAAGAATTACACTCCATTTTGTTTTCTTTAAAACGCAATAAATCTCCTGGTATTGATACAATTCGTATTAATGATCTCTGCCGAAACTTTGGACATGTTCAGCACGTTCTTCTCACCATGATAAATCAGTTCTTGGTCTCTGGCGTCATTCCAATTGAACTCAAAACCGCACTTGTGAAGCCTGTTTTCAAGGGAGGATCGCCTAACAAGCCTGAGTGCTATCGCCCTATTTCTATATTACCTTGCATTGGAGAAATTTTGGAAAAGCATTTGTATCTTGTAATGTCCAGCTTCATTGAAACTCACAACATCCTGTCGCCTAACCAGTATGGTTTTGTTGCTGGAAAGGGCACTCAACCACTGCTGGAAGATTTTTCTGACCTACTACACAGTGCTTTTGATCGAAACTTATGTTCATGTGCAATTTTTCTTGATGTCGCCAAGGCCTTTGACACGGTCAGTCATAAGATGCTTCTTTTTAAACTGCAGAATTACGGTTTCCGTGGACCATTTATTGCATTGCTTAAAAATTTCTTTCTTGACCGCTCCCAAATCGTATCTATAGGAAATTTCAAAAGTGCTCGGCTG